TAGGGGAAGGTCAGCTGCAGGACGGCGCCGGGAGGAGGAGGCTGCACCCCTGGGGTGCCCCACATGCCACTGGGGCCTGGCTCGCTGCCAGCCTGCGCCTCTCCTGCCAGCTGCTCTGTGGCCATGCTGCCGGTGCCAGCGGGAGGGAGCTGGGGCAGGGAGATTTATAGGGAGCTGGGGGGTGCGTGTGGGGCCGGGGGTGATTGACAGCTGCTTAGCAAGGCCCAGGCGGGTGGTGCCAGCCCTCGGCCAAGCGCTGCACAGCTTGTCTGGGTGGTAAATCCCTGTCCGGCTGGTCGCTGGCAGGGAAACGCCCTTGGCCCGGGTCCCACGCAGAGACGGGCCAGAGCAGCCCCGGGCGGGCACCTTGCTGGCATTGCTGGGGCCTGTGCACCCCACTTGCAGCCCCCTGGCCCATGCTAGGCCCCACTGAGGTGCCCAGAAGGAGGGGCACGGGAGGCCATGCGCGGAGGGGCTGGTGGGGGGGGGGGGGAGGGGCTGCAGAGAGCAGAGGCTGGAGCCAGGGCTGTGGGGGCAGGAGGACCCATGTTCCTACCTGGCCCCCTCACCCCACCTGCCACCGGAGCCCTGGGAGCCCCCAGGTGGGGAGGGGCCATGGAGCTGGGATTAGCCCCAGCTGGGCTGCACGGGCAGGGGCAGAGCCCTGGAGGGCAGGGCTGTGTGCTGGGTACGGGCCTGGGCACATCAGCATCTCCCCTGTGAGCGCCATCCCCCGCCCCCTCCAGTCACTCAGCACCCAGCAGGAGGCTGCCCCAAGCCCTGACGGGTGCAGACACAGCCCCACAGCTGGCTGTCATGGAGCGTGGGGGAGTCCCCAGGCCCTGCACCCTCACCTGCAGCCAGGCAGGACTCTCAGGCAGCAGGTAGAAGAGAAGGTTCCCAGGGGGACAGCCTAGCACAGACTTGTGGGTACAGGATCCAGCAGCCATCAGCCCAGCCCTGCCTGGGGGTGGGGGGAGCAGAGCCCCAGCTCTGGGCCCCCACCCCGGCTCCCCAGGCCAGCCAGGCTCCCCTCATCTCCAGCCAGCCCAAACTAACTCCTCCCAGCCACTGCTCCCAGCCCCCAGGCAGCCCCACCCCCTGCGCTGTCCTGCTGCCAGGCTGTGATGTCACGTCAGGGTCCCCCACCTCCTGCACCCCTGTAATGGCACAAACAGACTCCCGCAGCCAGTAGAATAGAGGTGGTTTATTGCTTCTCCAGGATACTGCACAGCACAGATGTAATCCGGTTCCAGGGCAGGCCTAGGATGCCTCAGCCCCCCTTCAGATGGGGGAGCCTGGGCCCCTAAATCCCAGCCCCCTTCCCTAGGCTGTCTCCTCCATGATCCCAGACAGAAACTGCCCAACTTCCAGCCCTGCCCCCCAGACAGGGGATGGACCCTGCCTTCCTCCCTTTGTCTCGCCCTGGGAGGCGACCTGTCGGACAGGCTGGGAGCCCCTTGCCTAGTGACTCATCCCGTCCTGCTGGACCGTGCTGCAAATAGCCGCCCGTGGAGGTCACCCACGGCCCAAGCCCAGCAAGGCACCACCATAGCACACTGGGTTCTAGAGCAGACAGCTCGCCCCCACTACGTCACACAGGCCAAGGTGGCATGGAGGGGCTACGGCCGGGTCAAAGAGGCCCTGCTGCACAAGTTCGGGCTGCCCCCGAGCCGTCCAGGAGACGTTCCAGGAGGGGCCGGGGCAGACCTATGTGGACCTGGCGCAGTCCTGGCGCCAGACAGTGCTCGGGGCGGGGCCCAGACCGCCAAGGCCCTGGTCACCCTGACAGTCCTGGAATGTTCTTGTCCGACCTGAGGCTGTGGGTGAGGGACCGGACGCCAGAGCCCCCCCCCCATGCGGATGAGTCCTCACCCCACCC